TATTACACATTTTTTTGTCAAGAGCTACCCAAATTTTGTTTAAAAATTATCAAAATTATTTTTGTCTATATTTAATTATTACGTGACAAATTTATGATAAAAAATTGTTAACAATCTGGACGTTGTCTGCTTGAATGACCATATAGAAACATATTCAATACTTCAGGAACTAAAATAATGCAATTGAAACATTAGGGACCAAAATGAGATAAATCTCATACTTTAGGGATTTTTAGTGCAATTAACCCAAAAAAAATTTGTCAAAAGCATGGAGGCTAATGAAACTCCACCAGCTGGACCTCACACCACCTTAGGGTAAACCTAAATCAGATGTGCAATATTGACTGTGTCGNTAAACATAATACATTACTTTCCAGTATAGTAAAAGTCATACATGGTGTACCATCCCCACTTCTAGACTAGAAGCATGAGGTACACTTAGTGCAGAAGTGGGTGCTCTACAGTTTCTTCTCAAGAAATCNATTTTGATTAATTTTTTCTCTGACTTGATTAAATTCAGATCATCCATATCAGAACTAAGAGATTTATGAGGAATAAATTCCTCATAATTTGATCTAAAAAAATTGTCAAAATTTAAATTCAGAACGTTTAAACTTACAACTTGTTTTTATCATTTAAACTATTTCGAGATTGAAGAAGTGTAGTCTAATATGGTCTTATGGTGCACCTAACTTCCAAGGTTCTTTTTCCGACCTAAATTCTCTTGACCACATGCTCTTAATTTCCACCTTGCAGAATTGAATGGGAGAGAACGTGTTTGGCGGGCTATTATTCTCCCCTTTAAGCATGAGTTATTAGTCAAGAGTCTCAACGGAGTCGAGCCGTTTGCATTGNTTGTGTATATAACTATGTATGAAAACAAAAAATAATCAAGAACTGTACTATTTTTCATGTAGTGCTAACATAGTTTCGCCGTTGCATCGAGTATTTATTTGTCAAGAAGGGGTTGCCTAGGAGGAGGTGTGTCACATTGGCATTAGTTCATTCAGTATGGATCGATCAACACTAACCCAATACTCAATGTCGAATAGNGTCATTGGATCGTTGATCTCCATATTTAAGTTATTGTATGATAATAAAACAACCTCACGACAAATCAAATGAGAAATATAAAAGTTTATTTGTTTCTCTTACAATACATATTAAATAATTGTTAACACCAATTTTAATTATCCATTATTCATATGAAGTCAATGAGTAGGATAGACACCTTTGTAGTTAGCAAAGCCGACAGTAAAGAATTTACAATGCATGCACCTTCCTTCATAAACCCACTACCCATAATTTAATACTTATTACTAATTTTTATTTATTTATTTATTTTGCGAAGAATGTTTGACTTTAGCCTCTTTCTAGGAAAGACCATAAATGAGTCTTATCTCATCTGTAAATTGGCAACAACCAGTGGAAAAAAGGCTGCTAAGTTGGTTTTTGGGTGGTGTGCATTTACAGCTGAAATTGTTGACTTGTACCATGTTCTAGGGAGGAGGACAAAAGGGCGGGGGGGGGGGGTGGTGATAACTAATAATCAAATTGTCAAAGTTATTCTTGATGGACTGTAAGTTTCATGGTTCACATCAAGGTGGGATCTAATGGGCAAAAAGAAAATTGGATGTAGACCCATCTTGAGAATAAATGGGTAGTCCACCGACACGTTTGTAGGCTTGGTAAATAGTTAAACACGATTGTGAAAAGTTCGTATTTTAATAAGCGAGACTTTTATTCGAATTTGTAATAATGATAAGAATGTTCAAGATAACAGATAATTAATTATTGTAATTATTAAGTACGAATTTAATGTCAATTGTGTTTGTGGACCACTATTTTATTGAAATTTTCTTTAGCAATGACTCTTCCCATGTTCTTGAAAAGGTCACTTGTTTGGATCTAATGGACTTATAGAAAATTGGATATAGGCCTACCTTAAAATGAAACATATAGTCCACAAATGTCTTGGTCTACGAGTTAGCCCGTGCTTGTTTGAAAAATCTTGCACTTATAGGGCATACAGTCTAATAGGCCTTTCCTTTTCGCTGAAGCTTTATCGACGTTGTCCCGTTCTCCAATTTGATATTTGAATGTGAGTAATACTTTTCAAGTTGTATTTGTGAATCAAAACGATGCTTGAATTTATAGTAACGATAAGCGTATTCAAAAGAAGGGATAGGTGATAGCTGTGATAAGTGTGTACAAACTTTTATTTTAAATTGTGTTTAGCAACCACGATTCTTTCAAATTTTCCCTGGTTCCTTAGATAAACACGACAGAGCACCCCCTTTGTAGAGTAATAATGCCCAAAGCTAGCAATTTCTTGTCGGTAGTCTGGAACATTACTTAAAGGATTCTTTGGTGTAGATCTAACATGCCCAGACTAGGAATATGGAAAAAGTATTTGTGTATATAACTATGTATGAAAACAAAAAATACTCAAGAACTGTACTATTTTTCATGTAGTGCTAACATAGTTTCGCCGTTGCATCGAGTATTTATTTGTCAAGAAGGGGTTGCCTAGGAGGAGGTGTGTCACATTGGCATTAGTTCATTCAGTATGGATCGATCAACACTAACCCAATACTCAATGTCGAATAGGCCCAACATTAGGGTCTGGCTCCTCTACTATTAGTTTTTAACAACTGAGATGTTGTTGTTTAAGAGGGTGTCGTTTTGATGGATCAACAACACTTTTGTTGTTAATTTTCTAATAAAGGGTACTTAACCCCAACATTATGCTTACAAAAGTGGACCTAGCTATTGTAGTTGGAATTTAATTTGATCCAACCCAATGCACTCCTCATAAATGGACATTAAAGCCCCATTAATAGGTTCATCTACCACGTTGATCTCTTTTTCTCCTTGAGAACTATTGATGCTCCCCAACTTCTTCCTGGACCACCTTCCTCCCAAAATAGCTCTTCTCACATTTACTTATTTTGGGTATTTTTTTGTTACAGTATCTTCTAGCAGTCATCCTTAAACTGGAAAGAGGATCGACGGTTGGCCTAATGGTCACTGCAGCTTGTCGTTGGACAGTTAGATCTCAAGTTCAAGCTTTACCAAAGAGAAAAAAAAAAAACCTTAAACTAGAAACTAACAAAAAAATTATATTTTCAGGGAAAATATTTTTCAGATACAAATAATTTAAGTTCATACAAATTGAACGATTATTTCTTTAATTTCTTAAAAATCAGTTTAGTTGCACGAATATGATATAAACTCAAAATTACGTGACACCAAATAGGAAATAACTTGACTTGATTCAAGCCCCAACAGTTTGCCTTAATTGACAAAGTATGGCCAATGCCATGCCATGCTTCACCATATTGCATTATGTAGGGAAGAGCAGGACTGGATCTCTGGCTAACTCATTATAATCCACCAGTTTAAAAAAGTGGTTTCTCTTTCATCTATAACAACAAAGTNGGACCACTATTTTATTGAAATTTTCTTTAGCAATGACTCTTCCCATGTTCTTGAAAAGGTCACTTGTTTGGATCTAATGGACTTACAGAAAATTGGATATAGGCCTACCTTAAAATGAAACATATAGTCCACAAATGTCTTGGTCTACGAGTTAGCCCGCGCTTGTTTGAAAAATCTTGCACTTATAGGGCATACAGTCTAGTAGGCCTTTCCTTTTCGCTGAAGCTTTATCGACGTTGTCCCATTCTCCAATTTGATATTTGGATGTGAGTTATACTTTTCAAGTTGTATTTGTGAATCAAAACGATGCTTGAATTTATAGTAACGATAAGCGTATTCAAAAGAAGGGATAGGTGATAGCTGTGATAAGTGTGTACAAACTTTTATTTTAAATTGTGTTTAGCAACCACGATTCTTTCAAATTTTCCCTGGTTCCTTAGATAAACACGACAGAGCACCCCCTTTGTAGAGTAATAATGCCCAAAGCTAGCAATTTCTTGTCGGTAGTCTGGAACATTACTTAAAGGATTCTTTGGTGTAGATCTAACATGCCCAGACTAGGAATATGGAAAAAGTATTTGTGTATATAACTATGTATGAAAACAAAAAATAATCAAGAACTGTACTATTTTTCATGTAGTGCTAACATAGTTTCGCCGTTGCATCGAGTATTTATTTGTCAAGAAGGGGTTGCCTAGGAGGAGGTGTGTCACATTGGCATTAGTTCATTCAGTATGGATCGATCAACACTAACCCAATACTCAATGTCGAATAGGCCCAACATTAGGGTCTGGCTCCTCTACTATTAGTTTTTAACAACTGAGATGTTGTTGTTTAAGAGGGTGTCGTTTTGATGGATCAACAACACTTTTGTTGTTAATTTTCTAATAAAGGGTACTTAACCCCAACATTATGCTTACAAAAGTGGACCTAGCTATTGTAGTTGGAATTTAATTTGATCCAACCCAATGCACTCCTCATAAATGGACATTAAAGCCCCATTAATAGGTTCATCTACCACGTTGATCTCTTTTTCTCCTTGAGAACTATTGATGCTCCCCAACTTCTTCCTGGACCACCTTCCTCCCAAAATAGCTCTTCTCACATTTACTTATTTTGGGTATTTTTTTGTTACAGTATCTTCTAGCAGTCATCCTTAAACTGGAAAGAGGATCGACGGTTGGCCTAATGGTCACTGCAGCTTGTCGTTGGACAGTTAGATCTCAAGTTCAAGCTTTACCAAAGAGAAAAAAAAAAAACCTTAAACTAGAAACTAACAAAAAAATTATATTTTCAGGGAAAATATTTTTCAGATACAAATAATTTAAGTTCATACAAATTGAACGATTATTTCTTTAATTTCTTAAAAATCAGTTTAGTTGCACGAATATGATATAAACTCAAAATTACGTGACACCAAATAGGAAATAACTTGACTTGATTCAAGCCCCAACAGTTTGCCTTAATTGACAAAGTATGGCCAATGCCATGCCATGCTTCACCATATTGCATTATGTAGGGAAGAGCAGGACTGGATCTCTGGCTAACTCATTATAATCCACCAGTTTAAAAAAGTGGTTTCTCTTTCATCTATAACAACAAAGTTAACATAATACATTACTTTCCTGTATAGTAAAAGTCATACATGGTGTACCATCCCCACTTCTAGACTAGATGCATGAGGTACACTTAGTGCAGAAGTGGGTGCTCTACAGTTTCTTCTCAAGAAATCATACACATAATTTATAACAATCTTCTTTACTAGGCTAGATCCTTGTTTTGCTCTCACATATGAATGCCCAAGTATGTAAGCCACCCCAGCTTCCCTGGCTTCCATCAGATCTCGTAATTCCTCGCGTGTAACAGTGTCGATTTTTGGGCTCTCTGGTATAACAAACCTCACCCTTTTTCGAGGTGTGATCACTGGTGGAGATCGTATCTCTTTCAGCTCTGATGTGCTAGCTGATTTTGCATTGTCCACATTGTCTTCACTGATTCGGATCCCTCCCATATGGGTTGATGGTGTTCCAACAACTGCCATATCCTCATTTTCCTTTGGCAAACCCTCATTTTCACCACTGCATCCTGCCTTTCCCGTCTTTATAAACTCGGCTATGCTACACACAAGATCTTTCTCAAACTCCGTATCATCCTTGTGAGCATCACGATAACCATATCTCACAATGCATCGATAAATCCTGTACTCTCTTGGGCCAATGTGACCAACAAGGAACCGTTCTTCATGGCTGACATGTGGAATTGGGACAGATTTAATGCAAAGAAAAACTAGGACCTGGTGGAAGGCTGGAAGGTTAGTGACAAAATGGGAAAAGATTGCTGGGATTCCAGACACAAGCTCGGTGTGTATCAAGCCAATTCCACGAACCCGTACAATGCCTAGGCTGGGACCCAAGCTGAGTAGCCAGTCGACGGAAACCTTATTCTGGACATCAAACTCGTACTTCTTGAGCGTGCCATAGTGCCAGATATACATGACCATCATAAAGATAAATGCAAGAGCAATGGGCACCCATGCCCCTTCACGAAACTTGATAAGAGATGCAGAGAAATAGAGAGCTTCAATTGTCCCAAAGAAAAATATGAAGCAAACAGCGAGGAAAACACTCTGGTTCCAGCATAAAACTATAACTAAAGACATTAAGCAGGTAGTGACCAGCATGACTGTTATAACTGCCAAACCTGATTCAAAAAGGGCAGCATTGGGGTTGAAAAATGATAACAAACAATAACATAATTGTAAAATTTGTGGGTGCGTGCGTGTTTTTTTTTTTTTTTTTGGGGGGGAGGGGGTGATGTTTATCTAAGTTGCTAACTTAATTGGCACAGATTTTTAGTAGATTGTTGATAATGTAGTGATGACGGTGTTCTTAAAAGCATTTCTGAAACATTCATACACGTGCACCAAATAAAGGGAAAATTTCGAGCAAGTAGATAGAAACAAAGGAACTTTTAACCATTTTCATCAGTTAGTTCACGCAAATGAAATGATCACACAGGTGGGGAGTAGGAACATGCAGGGGAGCCATGGCATCTCCCTAGTCCCTACCCCTCCCCACCCTCCACAAAAAAAAACAAACAAAAGAAAGCCTTCTATCCTGGATGCATTATACACGCACTGGAAAACCCCCACGGCCCCACCCCCTTCCCAACCTCAAAAAAAAAAAAACTGTCCATGCCCAAGTTTAAGTTTGAGAAAAATCATATTCACTTGCTCTTGTATAAATCCATAATGCATGTATCTGTGTATATTAGTATATTAATTGACAGTAAACTATCATTAAATTCAATTTCACACCTTCAACATAGGTCGCTATGGAGGTGCTGAAGGGTTTTGTTGGCTTATGATAAGAGTGATGGGTTTTGTCACTGAGGGATACTGGTGGTGATGATTTGATTGATGGAGGTGGAGTAATATTATGGACAAGAATAGGACCCCGGCTTTGCTATGTTTTCAATTTTATTTTTTAAATATGGCCTTTCATAAGATTTTGTGATGCAAGGGTTGAAACTGAGACCATAGTGGGAAGGATCTAAACTCCTAGGGAAGAAGTATTATTTACCCCCATGAAATATTAAATGGTCAAACTTCAAAGTAAATCGTACAATTGTTTTTAGTGTTTGGTTATTGTCTTACCTGAAGCATTACCCAGGCGTTTTGTGTCTCTGAAACCAATAGTAACAGCCAAACATAACAGCATTAAAATCCAATTGATCTCTGGGATGTAGATCTGGCCATGTATCTTGGATGATGTGTGGACTATCTTGACTCTGGGAAAGCAGCCCAGAGCAGAGCATTGTTTGATAATTGAAAAAGTTCCAGTTATGATGGCTTGGCTTCCCACCACAGCAGCAAGTATGGCAATAACAAGAACTGGCCATCTCAATTTCTCTGGTATACAAATATAAGGTATCTTTATTAGCTGAAACTTGACTTCATTTGTATGATTTATTTTTTGAACGTACAAGTGAAGGTGCCTACCAGGTACAGAAACATAAAATCCAATGCGATAATCATTTGCAATGACATGATGCCGAGATAAATAAGCAGCCTGCCCCATGTATGCCAGGATTAAGGATGGATAAACCACGGATGTGAAAGCAATCTGCAATCACGAAAGTCTATTAGAAATCCCGCAGGTTCATGATGATGCCAACTAACCGCAAAATCAGCTTGTGGCATTGTTTGGGGAGGCTGGCCTTTGTGTTCTTTCAAGAAACTTCCTGCCCCTCACATCTGATTTCTACCTTTAAAATTGCGTGCAATGATAAATAATCAAGAACCATCATCACTTATCAATAGTGGTGGAGTGCTACTCAACAATACTGGTTTTTCTACAACAATAACCACAATCCCCTCCCACCAAAAGGGTGCTTCTGTTGGGTCCTACTGAAGCAAACGAATAGCAATCAAAACCAAAATATATACAGTGGAAGCAATAAATAGAAATAATTAACAAGCTGAACAACACCATAAAGGAGGCACCAGCCGCACCACTTAGCCTAGATAGTGAAGTCACTAGAAAGTTCCTCAGTGACCTAGAATTGGGTTCAGGAGAGAGAGGGTATGGGTAGGGGGGAGAGCTACCCCCTGTTCAAATTAGACCAGCAATTGAAAACCAAGGCAGATTGTCAGCCATAAAGACTTACACAGAATATAGTACCAGTGTTAAAAATTGTTATAAAAGAAAAGCCACACCAAGTCAAAACAGAATGTCAAAACTTCAGACACAGATTTTTTTGAAAATCTCTTACCTTGATTGACAACTGAGAAAAATGTCCTAGATCAGCAAACATAGCTTCTGAACCTGAAAGAATGAATATGTGGATCATTAAACTCAATTTTAAAAAAATAAAAAGAAAAGAAAGAAAAAATCTTCCTTGTATATGGATTGAACTTCACCCTTACTTGTCATAAAAACATAATTACCTGTTATACACAAAAGGATCCCGCCCAAGGACATCCAACCTCCTCTTTGTGTCTTCTTCAGAAATTTGTACATGTAATATGGAGAGAGTGCTTCATACACATGAGGATTCCAGTGAAAAATATTATATAAACCGATAGCACTGATGCACAAAAGCCATATTATGACCACAGGTGCGAACAAGAATCCAACCCTGTGGGTGCCATAATGTTGAAGGGCAAACAAGGCTATCAGTATGATACATGCAACTGGAACTTCTACATCTGCAAAACTAGCGCTTCTTAGGAGGCAATATGGCATACTATTTATAGCATAAACAAAGAAAAGAAAAAAGAGAGGTAAGTGTAACTGGATATGCAATCAACAAATGAGAGTCCAACTATTATACAAAGCACTGAGCATGTTAGAATTCCATGACCAAGCAACAGACATCTTCTAAGAGCAATGTCCTAAATGTTCAGTTAAGAACATTCAGGTCTGCAACACTTATCAAAAGCAATGATTTTATAGTCGTTACATGGCATGGCCTGTATTCAGAGCTCTTACAGTCACAGATATGGTCATAATTCAGCAACCTGAAACTTAGATCTCATTGCCTAGAATATGGATTTTAGTTTAACTGCTGGAACTTAGTGATGCTAAAAAAAATAGTATAACATTTTCTGCCAAGTAACATGCCAGTAGAAATCCATTAAACTTGAAAGGGTCTAAAAAATGGCAGTGCTTAGTGGCCAGTATGAACAACCATCAGCACCATCACTGTAATAACAATGTGCTCTAATTTATCTCTTGATAATTGATATTGTTTCCACCCTGAGCCATGAAACATTTGCCTTCAATAAATCGTAATATAATTACTCATATATACAGATGGAATCTGTAATCTCATATTGTAACATATTTGTAGCAGAAATATTAGTATGTCGATAACCTGCAACTATATTACAACTTTTCAGGAATTCCAAATCTTCAGGGTCAAGTGAAATTTCAGTCGCACAAATTTCCAATGAGTAGGCATGTCTGCAACTGATTGCAGTGATGATCTAATAAAACAAAGCTGCATGCACAGACAATTACAGAGTCCGTGGAGCTTCTCAATAACTCTTGTGGGGGATTAATTAAGCTGAAACATAATTTGCAAAGTAGCTGTTTTCACCCTGGCCAAATGCCCAAGCTCATGCCAAGGATGAGCAACATACTATAATTTTGGGAACACAAACAACTGCTCTATGATTTTTTGAAATCCACACATTAGTTTACAGAATAAAACCAAAAGCTATTTTTCATGGTTGGCAGCAGACGAGCTATATTTCCTCAACTTGAGGCTCACTGTGTCTCTCCTCACATCGCAGTGGCAAGATTTGATAGTCATTGGCCTTATAAAATGTTAAATTTTCTGCTTAAATTTGTTTTGTATTCTCAAAGATCCCTTAAAGAATCAGATTTGCCCATTTTCGGCTTCACAGGGTATAATAAGTCATGGAGTGGCAATGTCATACAAAAACCAGTACAAAACAAAATTTTGGTGGAGTTGCAAGGTCGCTGAAAAACCAAGAAGAAGAACAGAAAAGAATTTTTTTTAGGAGTATAAAGAAGTTATCCAGGCGGATAAGCTTACAGCCAGCGCATGATTCAATCGTAATCTCTATTTGGATGGTAAAAAAGGATATGCAATATCAAAGAATGTAAGTTGTTCGAACTCAGCTTTCCACTTTGTCCTAGAAAGAGAGAAGTCTTATGGGTCTGAGTGGGGGCTTAGTAGCGAGCAAAGTCTCAGATGATTATACTTCACAACAGCAGTGCTTTAGAAGGCCGTATTCTATGCCAGCTAATGAGGTCATCAACTCTCCAAGTTGCTGCTATCTAATATGTGCTGTCAGTATGCACAATGAAGGCTATAACAAGCACCTGATCAAACACGACTCTCTCAAAGAAAACAAAATTTGATAAAAAGGAAAAAGAAATGACTACATTTTGCAACAGCTTCTTATACTTTGGTTGATAAATGATCCATAAAGGTATAGAATTGCACAATACCTAAACAAACAACCCTTGCAATCTTCGCTAGCCTTGTGGCTTTGACCTTCATTGATAGCCCAATCCTTACAGAAACGCGTTAACCCAAGGTTTAACTGCTAACCATTATTGACCTCCTAACTCCCGAATTCTGTGCTCTATCAAGCCACGGTGGTAGTGGTAGCATAACGGATAAGGGTATGGACCTCTTATGTTACAGAAGGCTTAAATCACAGTCTAATCCTTATGCATGAACCGTGTAATCTTCCACGTGATTCCACTCTTGTACAGCATTATCATTGAGCTAAAAACTAGTAACATACTACAGTACAGTGTTTTCTCTCCCTTTTCCCCTCAGCGTATTCTTGATGAACTCATTGCAGTAAGTATAATCTTAAAATGTGGCTTCCTACCTATCTTTACATTCAACATGCAAAACATAAAAAAACATTTCCCTTTCGGCTTCCAATATCCATAGAAGGAAGATACTCATTATAAGTCAATGGCAGAAAGCATTTCTAGCAATCGGAAGTCCACAATAGAGATTTTTCTTGCCAATCTAATAAGTAGAAAACCGTTGTATTCCTATCACATCGATATGATGGAGAGGCTTTTCATCCATGCAATGCTCTTAATCAAACAAGAAGCATTTCTAGCAATCGGAAGTCCACAATAGAGATTTTTCTTGCCGACCTAATAAGCAGAAAACCGCTGTATTCCTATCCCATCAATATGATGGACGGGCTTTTCATCCATGCAATGCTCTTAATCAAACAAGAAGCATTTCTAGCAATCAGAAGTCCACAATAGAGATTTTTCTTGCCGATCTAATAAGCAGAAAACCGCTGTATTCCTATCCCGTCGATATGATGGAGAGGCTTTTCATCCATGCAATGCTCTTAATCAAACAAGAAGCATTTCTAGCAATCGGAAGTCCACAATAGAGATTTTTCTTGCCGACCTAATAAGCAGAAAACCGCTGTATTCCTATCCCATCAATATGATGGAGAGGCTTTTCATCCATGCAATGCTCTTAATCAAACAAGAACCATATTAACTTTCATTCAAGCAAGAAGGCATCCTAAGTATGTCTGGAATCTGACAAGTTAGAATCGTCAACCGATCAATCAGAGATCTAGAAGATAGAACAGTTTGCTCAGCATATGAAAATGTTATAGCTTTCTCTCCACATCTGTACCCAGTCAAACTCCATTGCATAATGAGGAGTGACTTTTTTAACAACTACCCTTGCAACAGTACATGATAAATAATCAAATAAAGCAACAATATTCTATGAACAGATGATTAGCAGTTTCCATAAGCATGACTGATGACAGACTTTTTAAGGGTTTTTAGTGAATATCTAGCTCAGTTTCATGCGGACTTCACCCCCCCCCCGCCAAGATTTTGCCGCTGCCACCTCTGATTTGATATGGATTCCCAAATCAACTAAAGGTCAACTCAGACTAAAAATTATTGCTATTATGCTCCACCAAAGAGGAACATATGACAAGATTTCCAACTTTGAAGTAGAAAAGAAAACTTAACTTTTAAAATGGGAACATAATGGAAGAAACAGAGAAGCACTTCCGGCACAAGGGTTTATGATATTCAAAACAAACTATGAAATGTTCCAATTAAATAAATAGATATTTGAGACTGACTTCATGCTGATATCCAACAATTCAACCTATAATCAGACAGGTTAAAAACAATTTCCCCAAATATTAGGCAACTAAGTCATGATTTCCCTACTTGTCTTGACGGTAAAGACATATACGACAATACAAGTTACACATTAACTTATCTAAATAGACCTGGTTAAGAATATTACATTTGTGATGCTCTTTTGACATGGCAAGCTCAACGCCAGAAACCGCAGAGAAAACTGTACAAATGACCACAAAATGAACCAATTCAGCAACCAGCATACATCTGAAACTCATAATTAGGCAAAAATCCACAAGATACCGATGATTTTTTTACCTGAAATAGCTGGCGTAAGAATACCATCACCAATTACCATACAAGCACCTATCAAGGCCAATATAAGCAAAAATTTCTGCAATACTCTATGCTTCTCTAAAGTAGATTTCAGACTTGACCCAAAACTAGTTGGGACTGGAACAGTTATCTCCTTCTTGTAGGTTGATAATTCCTCATCTGCTAACTGGCAATTAGGCAACGAGCTCACTCGGGCGTGTCGGCATAGCAATGAATACAGTGCAAATGTGCCTCCCTCGCCATTATCATCAGCTTTGAGCACAATGAACACATATTTAAGAAGAGGAACTAGAGTCAGAGTCCAGAAAACGAAGGAGAGAACCCCATAAATTTCTTCATTGGTCTCTGAGTGTTCAATGTCTTCAGCGAAAGTGCTCTTGTACACATATAGTGGGGATGTGCTCAAATCTCCATATACAACACCCAAACTCTGATAAGCCAATGTCAAGACTGTCCTCCAAGACTCTTTCTGCACCAAAAAATAACACCAATCTGATCAGAAAAAAAAAATCGAACGTGTTCGCTTTAGACCGGTCAAGAACATAAATTCACAACATACCCATCTCACCTTAACAAGATTTTGATGAACTCCCGTTTCCAGATCCATGATGGCTCGTCTCAGAGACTCAGAGTTCCAGAAAACCCATTTCTACAGAGATTTCAACAAATTCAAGGAAGACCCAGTAGCAAAAACACCCTTCCCAGTCAAGAACTTTCAAGAAAAATGCAAAGCACACAAAAATTCAGTCACCAAATATATTATAATGAAGAAAACAACAGTCTATTCTAGACTATTCTCATAGCAGTTGAACAACCCTCCAATCAAACTTTCCGCAAGAAACAACCTTCAATGAAGAGAAAGCACAAAAAGCCACAAACAAAGAGGCGTAAAATTGGAAACTTGGAACCATACAATAAGATTATTTCCGTCTGGTAGTGAGAGAGAGGCTAGTGGGATATAGTTCTGTAGTTGGTGAGTATGCAAGTTTCTTTATTACTCGTTGTGATGGTTTGCGTTCAGGGAGAGTTTGTTTATGGGTAGTTTATTTTTGTAGGGTTGTCTCATGATCTCATCTCACTCCACTTGGCCAACAGAGACAAAGAGAGCGAGAGAAGTCGTGGCAGCGTGACCTCTGAAATGAAGCAGACAATATGGATACCGATCTGGTTTGATCTAAACGCAAGGTTGAAACTTGAGACTCTGATTTGAGCGAGTTTTGACTCCCGAGTTAATGACAGCGATACGTGAAATTACGTAGTAGATTAGATACGTAATCTATTATTACAAGAAAGAGGGAGAAAATGTTTGATGTCCATTCTAATTAAACAATCAATAATAATTTTTTTTGTAACGATTAAAAATATTCGAATCAATTTATTATACATCGGCAGTTCCTCTCTTTACTCTAATCCAAGACACTAATCATCTACACCGAAACTAACTTGTTCACGAGAAATGACCTAACCACTAATAATATTCAACATATTGTATTAAGTAGCGGTCTTACCCATTTATATTATGCACGAAATTTACAACTTAATATTTTTTAAAATATATTTTTTTCTTTTTTTTTTTAATTTATACTCTAAAAAGTTAGATAAAAAATTATGCACAATAAAAGTGATTTTTTTAAATAAGTTTGACTTTTTTTTTTTATCAGAAAAATAAGTTTAACTAGGTTTTGGTTAATGCGGAAGGAAAGAGATGGATGGTTATAAGGGGGAATAATATTTTGAAATTTAATTAAATCTATATAATAAAATACAATACAATTCAAATCTTAAAAGATAAATAAAATGACTTTTGCGTTTCGCGGTTGAGATCTATTTAAATTTTTCTTTAAAGTTAATCTGACGATTAATATTAACATCTCAAATTTAATAAAAAAAATTGACCCCTAAGAATGTGTTTGAGTGACTTTTTAAAAATATTTTTAGAATTTATAACTTCTCATAAGTATTTAATATATATATATATATAACCATTATTATTGAACTGTCGCCAACCCATCACTGCCGCCACCATCACCAACCCACCACCATAATCACATCCATNGTGATGGTTTGCGTTCAGGGAGAGTTTGTTTATGGGTAGTTTATTTTTGTAGGGTTGTCTCATGATCTCATCTCACTCCACTTGGCCAACAGAGACAAAGAGAGCGAGAGAAGTCGTGGCAGCGTGACCTCTGAAATGAAGCAGACAATATGGATACCGATCTGGTTTGATCTAAACGCAAGGTTGAAACTTGAGACTCTGATTTGAGCGAGTTTTGACTCCCGAGTTAATGACAGCGATACGTGAAATTACGTAGTAGATTAGATACGTAATCTATTATTACAAGAAAGAGGGAGAAAATGTTTGATGTCCATTCTAATTAAACAATCAATAATAATTTTTTTTGTAACGATTAAAAATATTCGAATCAATTTATTATACATCGGCAGTTCCTCTCTTTACTCTAATCCAAGACACTAATCATCTACACCGAAACTAACTTGTTCACAAGAAATGACCTAACCACTAATAATATTCAACATATTGTATTAAGTAGCGGTCTCACCCATTTATATTATGCACGAAATTTACAACTTAATATTTTTTAAAATATATATATATATATTTTTTTTAATTTATACGCTAAAAAGTTAGATAAAAAATTATGCACAATAAAAGTGATTTTTTAAATAAGTTTGACTTTTTTTTTTTTATCAGAAAAATAAGTTTAACTAGGTTTTGGTTAATGCGGAAGGAAAGAGATGGATGGTTATAAGGGGGAATAATATTTTGAAATTTAATTAAATCTATATAATAAAATACAATACAATTCAAATCTTAAAAGATAAATAAAATGACTTTTGCGTTTCGCGGTTGAGATCTATTTAAATTTTTCTTTAAAGTTAATCCGACGATTAATATTAACATCTCAAATTTAATAAAAAAAATTGACCCCTAAGAATGTGTTTGAGTGACTTTTTAAAAATATTTTTAGAATTTATAACTTCTCATAAGTATTTAATATATATATATATATAACCATTATTATTGAACTGTCGCCAACCCATCACTGCCGCCACCATCACCAACCCACCACCATAATCACATCCATCGCCCCGCGACCACCCCTATTACCCCACCACCACTGTTGTCGTCATCCTACCACCACCACCACCATCATCATCACTACCACTACCACTACCACTGTCGCTGTTACCTACACCAACGCCATTGCCACAAAAATCACCACTGCCACAGCCGCCACCACTATTGTTGCCACCCAATCATCCCCACCACCACCACCATCACAACTGTCAAACATTTATTGTAAAATTGTAAATTTTTCCTTTCCAAAGTCAATATTATTGATGAAAATTCTATTAAGTGCTGCTCACACCATGGTAGAAATAAAATATTTGAAATATAAATTTTATAAACAATCAATAAGTAATCAAATCAACGACTTGATACCTTTTTTTTATATTTTGTCTCTTTTACTTTCTAACTTCACACTTATTTTATGCCTACATAAAACTATAAATATAAAGATAATGCGAGTAAAAAGTACAAAATAAAATTATAGATCAAAATAGTCCACGTACAACGTACGTGGACACCAACTAGTATGCAACAAAAGAGAAGCAATTAAATTTCAAATAATCCGACTTAACACCCATGCTTTTTCTTTGTTTTTGTGTGGTGTGTCTTCCCTCTCCCAGCATCATGCTTTGATTGTAATGGTTTTGACTCAACCTGCTCTTTGTGTGTAGGTGGGACGTGGGCCGTGGGGGGTATGACTTAATAGACGCCCATGTTTGACTTGTCTCCATTATTGATTTCTTAATGAGGTCCTGTCTTTTTCCCTGAAAAAATAAACAAAAACAAAAGGGAATGGATATGCATGTAATTATTTTATCTGTGAATCGGATCATTCCATTAATATATATTTCTTTTTTAAAAAAAGAATAACCCAAAGTGAGGAGTATGTTTGGTCGAAACGAAGTTGTACACTAAAACAAATGTTAGATGTTACTTGTGGGGTTTGAATTCCTCTTATACTTGTTGTTCTCAATTTCATTTAATGACAAAAAAAACTCGGAGACCCATTTCTATATGATCAATATTTCTTAAATTATGTATATCTTTATGGATTATGCATATCTCTTTTGACCATTTCTTTCAAATTTACTCNCGCCACCTTACCACCACCATCACAACTGTCAAACATTTATTGTAAGATTGTAAATTTTTCCTTTCCAAAGTCAATATTCTTGATGAAAATGCTACCAAGTGCTGCTCACACCATGGTAGAAGCAAAATATTTGAAATATAAATTTTATAAACAATCAATAAGTGATTAAATCAACGACTTGATACCTTTTTTTTATATTTTGTCTATTTTACTTTCTAACTTCACACTTATTTTATGCTTACATAAAACTATAAATATAAAGATAATGCGAGTAAAAAGTACAAAATAAAATTATAGATCAAAATAGTCCACGTACAACGTACGTGGACACCAACTAATATGCAACAAAAGAGAAGCAATTAAATTTCAAATAATCCGACTTAACACCCATGCTTTTTCTTTGTTTTTGTGTGGTGTGTCTTCCCTCTCCCAGCATCATGCTTTGATTGTAATGGTTTTGACTCAACCTGCTCTTTGTGTGTAGGTGGGACGTGGGCCGTGGGGGGTATGACTTAATAGACGCCCATGTTTGACTTGTCTCCATTATTGATTTCTTAATGAGGTCCTGTCTTTTTCCCTGAAAAAATAAACAAAAACAAAAGGGAATGGATATGCATGTAATTATTTTATCTGTGAATCGGATCATTCCATTAATATATATTTCTTTTTTAAAAAAAGAATAACCCAAAGTGAGGAGTATGTTTGGTCGAAACGAAGTTGTACACTAAAACAAATGTTAGATGTTACTTGTGGGGTTTGAATTCCTCTTATACTTGTTGTTCTCAATTTCATTTAATGACAAAAAAAACTCGGAGACCCATTTCTATATGATCAATATTTCTTAAATTATGTATATCTTTATGGATTATGCATATCTCTTTTGACCATTTCTTTCAAATTTACTCTTGTATGTCCAACATAGGAGAAGAAAGACGTACGTGTTTTATGATCTACTGGAATAATTGGGTAAGCAAAAAAGACAAATTTGTTTGTAGAAAGAATCTGAATTTGTCTATGTAGATGTAAACAAGTTTGAATAGTAATTACCTAACAAAGATCTATTAAATAGAGTAGTGGGCATGCATGCAAAGGGGGTTTAAATGTCAATTGATTAGAGAGTCTAACTAGGGCTAGCCACCCAACTAGATTAGATATTTAATGTGCCTCTCCATGGTGTGACACAATATCAAAATACTTTGTCTACAAACATTTTAAATATATTTCTTTGCATGCTTAGTTTTGCTAATGTTATTTGAATTTATTATCCTTCTTATTATAGGCAATCCAACAAGGATAAGGTACTAATACCTATCCTCAATTCCCACTTCTAGTTGTTCTTGAAAAGTCAAAATATTATATAGCTCTAGATGTATATATTGAAAGATTAGAAATTATTTCCACAATTCTTTCCAATATTTTGAATCTCCGAATACTTGAAACTAAAGTTTTTTACAATCCCAAGTTAGAGAACCAATAAGATAGCCCACGAGAAAGACATCGTTTTTGAATTTTGATCTCAGTTCATCTCTTTTTATTTTTACAAATTGTAATAGCGTAGGGGAGCAATAGATAATGGAGAAGAGGAAAAGTACGAGAAATGAAGAATATGTTGTACAAAGTTACAAAAACAAATCATGTCCTTTAGTGAATAAAAAATATCTATAGATTAGACTAGTGACTCACGA